TTTGCCATGCTTGCTGAGTCCGATGCATCCCTTGTGCTTGCTGGATCTGTTGTGTCCACCGTGGCTGTCCGGCCTGTCGGGCTTGCTGGGCCTGGAGGGTCTGCGCATGCTGTGTTTGCAGCCCATGTTGCGTTCGCTGTGCTCCGTGTGCTTGCGGCAGCCCTTGTGCCAGTTGAGCTTGTCTCCATCGTTTTTCTTCCCTGTGCGTCCCCCCCCTCTCTGGCCCTGGGCCCACAGGTCCGTTGGCCCCATTGTAGTCCTTCGTTCTGTCCTTCCCTCTCCGGCCCCTGTGTCCCCTGTCCCTTCCCCGTCGTCTCACCTCGAGTAGGTTCTCCCGTCCTGGTCCCATCCCCCTCCGTCCGCTGCCCCCCTCCTGGCCCCATTTGGGAGACTACGTTTTGTCCTAGGATCCCGACACCCCATGGATCCATCAGAGGTGCAAATCGATTGCCCTCCCCTCCCCTCCCTGGCACAACACTGTTGGTGCTACTTACGTCCCTTATACCGTTTGTCCCCCCCTGGTTCCTGCTGCTCTTCTTTCCTTTGACCCTTTCCCATGTTCCGGTCTGGGTCTCTTTGGGTCCACCTGAATCGCCTGGAGGGGGGAGACATTCCAAGTGGGACTCCAGAGTCTTGGGGGGGGCCCATGTGGCCGGGGGCTTGTTTTCTTGCCTGGGTTCACCTTGCCCCTCCCATGACCATCCGACCACCTCTCCCCCCCCCTCTTTTGCTGCATCAATGTAGACCCAACCCTCGTGGTCGGGGTCAACTGTGCGCCACCGTGTTTTTTCAAAGGGCTCTCTCCTGAGGTGCCCCGTGGGTTTTGCTGTTCGTGAGGGGTGGCGTACACAGTCTGTATCCGTGTACAAGCGTCTGGAGGCCTGACATTTAAAACACCAAGCCCGGAGCTTGTGGGCAGTGTGAATACGATACATCCTCTTTCCTATACAAAACGGGATGATGCCGCCAATTGTGAAGATCTGCCCGTCAGCTAGGTTGACGGCCAACATTAGGTAGTCGTCCCTCTGTGCGACATGCAGTGGAAGGTACCACGTCATATTTTTTCGCGAAATCTTGCACAAAGGATGCCTGAACTTCGACCGGGATGTGTCGAACTTCTACCCAGTAGAACTCCATCATCTGCTCCCTACGTTCTTCTGGTCTTTGCTGATTGGGGGGGGATCACGGATAGATTCGCACCTTCGACCCTTCAGACCTAAGTGACCTCCACCCATCCATTGCCTTTTTATCTGTGTCAATCATGCAGATGACTGTAATGACTGAGGACGTAAGCGGCTGGATTAGGAATAACTCGTGTGCGGCCTCCTACGAGCCTTTAAAGGCTGCCAACCTCTCCCTGATCCAGCCGACTTTGTCATTCGTTGATTTGAATGCCGTGTCATCGTGGAAGGCCCAGTGGCTGGCATGCCGCGAGTACAGGCCATCCCTCATTCTAACCTTCTCTTCAGGGAGTGCCTTAACTATGATGGATTTGCCACCCTGATGTAGGACCCTGTTTTCGGAGGGGGTAAGAAGGCGGGTTAAGAAAAATGCCCCTGCTGATGTCAGGCGTCCCAATGGAATACCCCATTCTTCCTTGGCCCTCCCGTCTTCACCATCCTTTTTCCGTTTGATTGAGATCGACTCCCTTAGGAACGACTTCCCCACCTTTTCTGCCCATGATTGGCGCGATGGGCCCGCCTGCCCACTTGCCTGCCCTCCCGTCTTGCTGCTTCCGCTCGCCCTGCCTGTCGGGGAATCTCCCCCTCCCCACTCAACCCCTTGCATGGCCTCCTCCTTGTGCCGCAACCCCCCCCCTCCCCGGTGAGCCGACCCTGCGCATAATGCCTTGCTGCCCCTTTGAACATGAACATGATTTCCATCCTCTTATGCGATCTCTGATACTGTTTTCTTTCCCTCGAGGTCGTCATCCTGTGTATAATCCGTGCATATTCTTTCTCCCAGCTCCCCCCTTCCCTTCTACCTCCTCTTTCCTGTTGTCTTACTCGGGCTTGATGATTTTTTTTTTTTTTTTTTTTTTTTTTTGACATAGCTCTGCACAGTCAGGAGTTGAGGGGGATAACACTGGCCCAGCCCAAAGTTAACATTCACAAGGACCTCGCCCCGTAGCCATCCAGGCTTAATCGACCAGTTACCAGAGCAGTGTCTGCCTCCACACAGCCCGTTCAGTAGATGAAACCTATTCCACGTACACTAAAAGTCGGTCGATGACCAGATTAGCTTTTCTTATCATTCGTTCTTTTTTGTTTCTGTTACGATCCTGGCCAATTTTGAAGTCCACAATCATCAGAAAGTACAATGTTGTCCAATTGCGAAAAGAAATGAATGAACTTGAGCCCAATGCCGTCCAATTGCAAAAGAAATGAAAGAACTTGAGAGGAGAGAGAGGGAAAGAAGAAGAAGAAGAAGTAAGAAAGAAGAAAGAGATGATGTACTCCAGCATAGACCAAAGACAAAGCTCTTCTTCTTCGCTCAACAACCTCCTCCTCTTTATCTCCTCCTCTCTTATTCAAACAATAAGTAAMCAATAATAATGTTGAACAGCTGAACCAGAATCAAYGTCCGAATCCCACTTCTACTGCAGGCATAAGATGAGRTCCACCATRGCCATGSCAGCCCTTCTTCTTCCTCCACATACAGGCCGAGGCTATGGCGGACAACCGAGGCTTCAGCCTCCGGTACCAAAGACAACCCCAAGCAGCTATACCGCTGCCCCACTTCAAGGTCATCACCCCGCAGCTATGCCGCTGCCCACTCAACCGCCATGCCTGACTCTGTCCGAGCTTCCTTGATGCGGCACTACCCCCACTGGGGCCTTCCTGATGCAGCGCCTAGCAAGGAGATGAAGATGGTGTCTACCATAGCCAGGTAAGTACCCTACCACTCTCCTCCTTGGTCCCCTTCTCCCTCCTCCTCCTACCGGCTGAGCTCCACCATAGCCAAGGTGGAAGCTCCCGGCTTCTTCCTCCCAGCAGCGCTGTAGTGCCCAGCGCTTCACCACCTAGCGCTCCAGCAGCGTGAYGCCCGACTCGYACACTGAAGAATGAGGCAGAGCWCTTGCCTCCGCCTCTAGATATAGCGGCCTRCTTGCCTCTTGGGCGGTGACTTCCAGGCCGCTCGGCCTCTYCAAGCAACCGGTACCTCCTCCGTTTCGGAGGGAAACATCATTGCAGACCCTGATATTACCCGTACAGGCTCTAGACTCAGACTGGTTGGACTGGTACCGGCCTAGACCTACCCTACCGCTACTGGACTCTAAAAATGCCAACTTCGTCTTTTTCTGCTCGGCCTCCAGTACCCCTCACGTCAACTGCAGTGGGGTGCAGTATCGGCCTACCGGCCTACTTTAGTGTTTTTCCGCTACCCCAAGGGCCTCAGGGCCGCTAGCTTCACCACTTGAGTGTTTTCCCTGCTACAACCCTCAATGCCACGGCCACAGGTAAGTACCGGCCCTACGGGCCTACCAAACAAGCAAGTGCCCTTGCGGGTCCCACACACACTCATACCAACAAGCATTCAGACAGGCATGCAGGTCACAAGCACACACACACACAGACAAACTTAGAAAAGACAGCAGAACGCGGGAATCTCATGAAGGCATCCATTCCATTGGCAGAACTTCAGAAATCAGCAGTGTTCTCAGTCTGTGTTATGACGGGTCATTACACTACCCCCCCCTCAAGAGCGAGGTCCCTTCGAGTGAGTAACTCAATCAGAGTCCTTGCATAGTGCATCATAGGCGTAGATAGCAAAGAGAGATCGGGCGTGTTCCGTAGGAGTCAGGGTAGCAGTAAACTTTGGTTGCTGTTCAGCACTTATCAATCGTTCATAGGCATTAACGACAYGCGGTGCACTCTGCAGTAAGTCTTTCCTAGCAATCCAATAGAAATCGTCCAACAGATGGTACAGAAAATGAACTTTGTACTGTCCGTTTCTTCCCTTCCCACTGTGTTCGACAATCCTATCAACCTCATGGCCGCCATTGATTGCGTGGGGAATCATTGACTCTCGGTACTTGAACGTTTCAGGTGGTTCATATGGAAACAATTTTGACGCATGAAAAACTGGGTATGTGCGCAAATGTGCAGGCACATCAATCGTGTAGGAAGGACCGAAGGAATCACTCCCTACCTGGTTCAAGACCTGCAACGGACCGTAGTACTGAGGAAGAAGCTTTCGTGAGACACCTTCTTCTTCAGAAAACTCAGACATTTTGACCTAGACACAACTTCCCACTGTGAATGGTGCAGGCTGGCCCTTCTTGTTAGCATGTTTAATCATGGCACTGCGTCGCCTCTCCATAGCTGCGACAACAACTTTGAGTAGGCGATCGAAATTGGCGCTGTAGCCTGGCTGGCCAGGTGTTAGGCCAGGTGGCTGATCAGGAAACAGATAAGATAGAGGATTGCGGATTTTCCATCCAAGATGCAGCCGGTTAGGCGTCATCCCGGTGGAGGAGTGGATGGAGTTGTTGTACAACCCCTGCACAATCGGTAACTCCTCATCCCAAGAGTTCTGATCAGGTACAATTAGAGCCCTGAGAAGCTAGATCACGGTCTGGTTGATTTCCTCAGCCAGTCCATTGGCTTCGGGGTGTCGCCCAGACGTCATTTTAAGTTTCATGTCATAGGTCTGGGAGGTGAAATCTTTCTAGTCTGCGCTTATGAACCTGGTGTCCCGATCACTCACGAGAGTTTTCGGGGGGCCATAATGTAGCACATACCTTTTGTTGAACTCATCGATCACAAGGTTAGTTGGGGCGTGAGGTGGCAAGGAAATCAGATTTAGAAATTTCGAAAACCGATCAACGATCACCATCACTTGCGAATAACCGTTTCTGCTCTTCTTCCCCATGTCCGTGAAGTCGATGGAAACAGACTCACCCGGGCCATCAGGGATAGGAAGAGGGTGCAACGGGCCATAGGGCTTCTGCCGAGACGGTTTAATACGCTGACAAACTTTACACTTAGCCACAAACCTTTGTGCCATTCTTTTCATTCCAGGCCACACAAACCTTTCCAACAAATTTCCGTATGTCTTCTCAACACGGAAGTGTCCACTCCGGCCATGAGCCAAATCCAAGAAGTGAGTGATGATTGGCTCATGGTTGGGTATACAGAACCGGTCTTGCTTACCGTAGCGTCGAAAGAGAAGGCCCTTACATTCATGGAAATCAGGCTAACTACTAGGGTCAGCCCGAATCTGCTCAAGGATGGGACTGAGTTCCGGATCCTTGGCAGTGTGCTCAATGAGTTCCTTCTGTAAGTCCTTGCGAAGATCGTAGGAACCCACTAGGCAAGTCATGTACTCAGGGTGGCGAGACAAAGCATCCGCAACACGATTATAGCAGCCTTTCTTGTGTTTTAGTTCGAAATCATACACATCAATCTCATGCAGCCAGCGGGTCAGCGTAGTTGATGGGTTTATCTATGTCTGAATCCACTTCAAAGTCTCATGATCCGAGAACACTTTGAAATGGCGACCCAAGAGGTAGTGTTTCCAATGGTCTAGTGCCTCTCTCAAGGCATAGAGCTCTCTCATGTAAGTGGAGGCAACTACCTTGTGGCTGGGCATGCGTTTGCTGTAGTATTCCAGCGGACATAAACCATCGCCATCATCTTGCTGCATCACTGCACCAATCCCATACAAACTTGCATCCGTAGTTACTACGAACGTAAGCTTGGGATCTGCAATGCGGAGCACCGGATGACTCACCAAAGCCTCTTTCAATGCTTCAAAGGCTGTCGTGCATTCTTCATTCCATGCGTAGGACACATTCTTGCTGGTTAGTCTAGACAATGGACGGGCAATGATAGAAAATTTAGGCACAAACTTACGGTAGTACGACGCAAGACCAAGAAAAGAACGCAACTCGCGGACATTCGCAGGTTGGGGCCACTTTTGGATGACCTCAACCTTGGTTGCCTTAGGCTCTAGGCCTGCAGCAGACAACCGATGTCCAAGGTAGATGACGTTGTCCCTCCCAAACTCAGATTTCTCCAAGTTGAGATGGAGTTGCGCGTCCTTGAGGATCTGCATCACTTCCTCAAGGTGTCTCATGTGCTCCTCCATTGATTTGCTGAAGATAAGAATGTCATCCAGATATACAACAACAAATCGGTTGATCTGATTGCGAAACACTTTGTCCATGAGACTTT